GACCATCACAGCCCGGGCTCTGTTTGCTCTGCACCARACACATTTCTGTGTTCCTGGGCTGTCACCAGGGCCACCCTGAGCAGTGCCCGTGCCCAGCCCAGGCTGGGGGTGCCCTGGGTGTTCCCCACACGGTGCTCCCTGACTCTGATGCTCCCACAGGCGATGGCCTCAGGTGACACATGCCACCTGGATGTCCCACGTGTCCTCACTGCCCTGACCTTGCCTGGAACTTGGCTTGCCCGAGACAGCTCCTCTGATCCCTTCCAGCACTTTAAGAGCAGAGCACTCACTCAAAGATCTGTTTTCCCCRTGCTATTCCTCTGCACAGAACCGAATCACTCGCTATTTCTGATTTCTCTCACCAGTTTCTCTCATCTGTTTCTGTTTTCTCCCTCTAACAGATTCTTTAGTCACATCTGTGCTATTGGAAGGGTTTGGCCATGACTTACTGCAGCCTGTTGTTTATTTGCCTGTTACTGCTATCAGATCAGATGAAAACTCTGTGTTATCTCTGGTGTCACCACCTCTCACTGCTCTGATGTTCCAATGTTTCCTGCACAGCATTTTCACCGGGTAATTATTTTAAAAAATGTGTATAAATATGTAAAATAATAAGCAACCACACCAAAACCTGGAGTGAGGGGATTAAGCCCCACTCACAAAAAACACACCCTGGGCAGTCCCACCTCCAGCCACTCCACCAGGAGGGAAACAGGCTCACCCACAGCAGTTTGACAGGCTCCTAATTTATTCAATTAACAATAAACTCACAGTACTGCGTCCCGAACCTGTCAGCCAGCTGAACTGACACAGCCAGCTGAATACTAAAATCTATTCTGCCACTGAACTACCTTGGAGCTGAGSGCTGTTTAAATGGAGAGTGGACCCAAAATAGCCACGAGGAAAGGAYTTTGGCCCAAGGTTTAACTCGCTGGAGGGCTCACAGAGGTGACAAAACTTGTTCCAGTCTGTGCCAAAAAGCCATGGACATCACGTTGTCAGTCTGCTCTACATTACTCAACATGCAATGCTTGCTGTGGCAGACAGATTAATTAACAGAGATAACAGAAACAGTAGTATATAATCATAAAAGAGAGAGCTGAAACCACAAAGGACTACAGCCTCCCCATGGCACAGCAGT